GAAAGAATTTGAATTTGATAGTATCTCACTACATTCTGACGTAGTCAATTTTTCTACGCAGAAGAAGGTGTTTGCAGGGAGGGTCAAAAAAATTATGAGGGCAGACATGACCACAGGATGGAAGCCCCATCCTTTTCTATGAGCTGTGGTGGCGCAGTGGATAGAATGCAGTATTGCAGGCAAACTCTGTTCATCGCCAGGAGTTCAATCCTGACCAGCTCAAGATTGACTCAGCCTTCCATCCTTCTGAGGTCAGTAAAATGAGGACCCAGATCGTTGGGGCAAATATGTTGACATTATAAGCCACCCGGTGAATGCTATAAAGTACTGTGGTGGGGTACATAAATCTAGTGCTGTTGCTATTTCTCTGTGCATTGCAACAAGGCTAAAAAATGAACAGGGTATCAGTTGAATGGTGGTGGCCACCATCCTGACTTTTTGGACCTGCATGGACACTTTGTCCCTACCTCGTCCAGATTCCATCCTGTGGTGTGTGCCACTCAGGCCAAATCTTCAATTCTTTGCGAAGATTTGGGAATCCTGAAGATCAAAGATTGGAAAACTATTGCCTTCCAGAGGGTGCTAAACTACAACTCCCAGCAGCCCCTACAAGCAGGGGCAATGCTACAGTAAAGGAAGCCTCTTGGTGTAGTTCAGCTTGAGCAAATTCTAAGCGCTCTCACTAGACCAGGGGTCTTCAAACTTGGCCCTTTTATGACTTGTGGACTTCAACTCCCAGAATTCCTCAGCCAGCGTGCCTGGCTGAGGAATTCTGGGAGTTGATGTTCACAAGTCATAAAAGGGCCAAGTTTGAAGATCCCTGCACTAGACTACGCCTCAGGAGCCTTCGTGAGAAGTGCTGTCAGTTCAACAGATCCAAAACTGCTTTAAGTTTCTAAGATAGACACATCCTCATCTGTGTATCTTATACTGTAGCAGTATCTTGCTTCTTTGATTTCCTCTCACTTCTGACCTTTTTGTTTTGTCCTCCCCCAATTTTCATTTTGGTGCTGCAGATTATGGTGCATTTACAAAAGGGAAACCAGAGGAAGATGCTCTTGTGGGAGAGAGAACGCAACATCTGGTTCAGCAAGACTGAAAAAAATGGGACAATTTGGGGCTGGCCGCTGTCCAGGCTAGAGACTGAGGTCCAGCGCCCTCTAGTGTACATTTAGCAAACAATCTCATGTGCCTTGTCTTCAAACACTTCTGCGATAGAAAAAGCTCCCAAGTTTTCTTGTTCATAGTTGTCATCATAATCAGAAGTAGGCATTTCAAGAAACCAACACTTTAAGTATTTTATATATATATAAAATTTATATATTTAATATAAACAAGCCTGTTAGTAAAAATCACTTAGCTTTCGTCGGCCAGACTGCCGACGTCATCAGAGTAGGAATCTGGGAGTTCGCTTATATAGCTGCTTGCTTCTGCGCTCTACTTCTTGAGCGCGTCATCGGTCCATTCATTTCAATCGGCCATAATTTATTGAGTCGTTCTGCGCCTGTCAACCTGTCTGTGGATTCGAAAGTTATTCTCTTGCTTTCAATTGCTCCCCTGGCACACGTACGGGCGCCCGGGGGATGGCTGTCCGATCGCTTCTGCTCCTCCCCCCTCACTTTGGATCGATCTTGGGCGTTAGTCCCCAGATTGCAACTCAGGCGTGCTGTCAGGTCGCCATCTTCCCTGGAGATCGCCGCCGTCTCGCCTATAGTCCCATCGCCCTGATCGTGCAAGGGGTGACTATCCGAATTGGCCTTTCTCCATGATTGCATTTGGGGAGATTCACCCCCTAAGTCACTGCCAGACGATCACTCATCAGTTCGAGCATCGCACCATACGCGCCTTAATTAACGACCACCATAGACGCATAGAGGCACTGATGACCGGAATTCAGGAATGCCATGAGTCCTGCCATGTTACACTAACATGCCAGAATTACCAGGCCAACAGGTCCGCCAGGCTACTGAAAGGGCGAACCGGCAAAAATCAATAGTACTCCAATGTAAAATGGACATTTTATGGGCGTTGGACAACCGTGGACACACCAACAAGCTGGTCCACAATTTGTCCTCCAAATCCTTGACTCATGAACAAATCACATTAGAACGTGATACAGGACATAACTTGACAGACACAAGCGATTGACTTCGTGGCGGCCCTAGAACCCACCATCCAGTGCATTGAGGCCAGCGACGAGGTCAGGAACTCGATTAGGCAACGCGTCACAGGCCTGTTGATGGGCCACAAATGATGTCAGGTGCTTCCCAAAAAGGAGGAAGAGGCCTTGGAACAACTGAAAAAGGACAACACCATCGTCATCCTGCCAGCTGATAAGGGCAGGGTGACCGTTGTCATGGACAGATCAGTGTACACCGACAAAGCCCTAGCGCTGCTCAATGACGTCACAGCCTACAGAGTCATCACCAAAGATCCGATGACAACGCTCAAGAATCGTATCAACAAAGTAGTAACCTCAAACACCAGGGAAAAATCAATGATAACACACTGAGAATACGCCCTAGTGATGCAGCCATGGCCAGGTTTTATGGCCTCCCGAAAGTACATAAGGAAGGGATCCCCCTATGACCCATCATGTCTTTTAGAGGCACACCGACTTCGGGATTAGCCAAATGGCTAAGTGGCCGCATCGGCTATTTGGTCGAGAATAATGAGACCACGGTGAAATCAGCTGAGGAGTTCTTGGAGAGAATAAAGCCCCTAAGGATAGCAGAAAATGAGGTAATGGTGCCATTTGACGTTACCTCACTCTTTACTTCTATCCCACAAGATCTGGTGGTCGCTGTGATAAGGGACCGCCTACAAGAGGAGCAAGAACAGCATCTGGACTCCCTCCACACTAATGACCTGATACAACTGTTAACCCTGTGCCCAAAAACGTATTTCACCTTTCAGGGCATCATATATGAACAAATTAAAGGGACGCTGATGGGATCTCCCATCTTGGGCATCATTGTGGAGGCGGTTCTGTAGAAGCTAGAGCAGTGGTGGCGAACCTATGGCACGGGTGCCAGTGGCGGCACTCGGAGCCCTCTCTGTGGGCACATGTGCTGTTGCCCCAGCCTTGCCTCCCCCCATAGCCCCCTCCTCTCCAGCAGCCCCCCTGAAGGAGAGTCGCCCTCGAGGGTGGCCCACACAGAGCAGTGCAGCCAAGGATATGGCAGCCAGGCAGCGTAGACAAGACTCTGCCCTTACGCTCCATCATGCAGTTGATGCTGCAGGGTGTGGGCAGAGGGTGTGGCCGCCATAGCGCTGCTGGGCTGCCTGGGCAATCTGCGGCGGGCCCTGCGGCGATGAGTGGTCCTGTGGGCAGGCAGGNGGGCAGGGGGGGTGGAGTGGGGGCGGGGCCAGTTTTTGGGCACTCGGTCTCTAAAAGGTTCGCCATCACTGAGCTAGAGGCTGTGGTCATGTCTAAGTACCGCCCCAAATTTTGGGCGCGTTATGTGGATGACACATTTGTGGTCATCAAAAAACAGGACAGTGCCAATTTCATGGAGGAGCTGAACTCAGTATATACGGATATCCATTTTACAGCAGAAGAGGAGATCCAAGGCAAGCTTGCCTTTTTGGATGTACTGGTCAGTCGACGTCCCAGCCGCACTCTGCATACGACCGTCTATTGCAAACCGACCGACACTGACAGAACGCTGCACTACAGGAGCAATCATCCTGTGGCGCACAAAATCAGTTGTGTCAGGATGTTGTTTAAACTGGTTAACTCTCACTGCAACACAGGTAGAGCCAGAATCGAGGAGAGGAAATGCCTTTATCACATCTGTAGGTGCAATGGCTATCCTGTTGAGTTTGTAAGGCGATATAGCAGGCCATACCAACCTCATAGGAGTCCACACACCAGTACAACGATGCAGACCCCACGAACAACCCTTCCGTACATTAACGGTGTCTCCGAGGCCACGGCACAGTTGCTAGCCCCCTTCAATGTGAACATTGCCCATAGACTGGATCAGACCCTGTGAACCAAGATGATGCATCCTAAAGAGCCGCTCCCCAACGATGAAAGGTCCTCTGTTATTTATAGAATTAATTGTAAGAACTGCCCGTGCAATTACGTTGGGGAAACAACTAAAAGGCTCAAGACCAGGGTCCACGAACATGAGTTGGCGATCAAAAGACGAGCAGTGCTCACAAGTATGGGCCCACATGGTCAGCCATGGCCATGTGTTTGATCTTGCCAACGTGGAGGTCATATCCGATGAGACCACCAAGGGTGGCCGCTTGCTGAATGAGGCCTGGTTATCCGATGAGAATTCCATCAATCGGCACATAGACCTCCTACCAGCCTACCAGACTCTTAGAGGGTGGGAGAGACAGTGCTGTGACCTACGAAGGAGACAACTAGTTTGTCCCTTGCAGGATCCGAGCAGGTGAAACGGCGGCGATCTCCAGGGAAGACAGCGAGTCGGCAGCGCACCCAGATTACAACTTGGGGATTAACACGCAAGACCGTTTCATAGTGAGGGGGGAGGGAGACAAGGAGCGGAAGCGATCGGACAGCTCCTTGCAGGACCGGGGCAACGGAGCTATGGATGAGGCAACAACAGAGCTATGGATGAGGCGACGGTGACTCCCATGGAAGGAAATGGCAAACTGGCGATGCGCCCTAATCGTAAGTTAGGAACTGACGCGCAAGTACAGCTCAGAACGAAGGGGGAGGGAGGTAAAAGAGCAAAAACGTTCGGACAGTCACCCCTTGCAGGATCAGGGCAATGGGACTATAGGCGAGATGGCGGCGATCTCCAGGGAAGATGGTGACCTGACAGCGCACCCGAGTTGCAATCTGGGGACTAATGCCCAAGATCGATCCAAAGTGTGGGGGGGAGGGAGGTGAGCAGAAGCGATCAGACAGCCACCCCCTGGGCGCCTGTACGGGCGCCAGGGGAGCGATTGAAAGCAAGAGAATAACTTTTGAATCCACAGACAGGTTGACAGGCGCAGAACGACTCAATGCATTACGGCCGATTGAAATGAATGGACCGATGACGCGCTCAAGAAGTAGAGCGCAGAAGCAAGCAGCTATATAAGCAAACTCCCAGATTCCTTTTATCCCTACTCTGACGACGAAAGCTAAGTGATTTTTACTAACAGACTTGTTTATATTCCTATCCTGGTGTTCGCTTTTCCTTTTAATTTTGCTAATATGTATGTATGTATGTATGTATGTATACAGACAGAACTCATAACATACAGGTAGTCCTTGGCTTACAATCACAACAGAATCCAGAATTTTGGTTGCTAAGCAAGGCGGTTGTTAAGTGGGTTGTATACCCAAGGTTACAACCATTTTTGCCATAGTTGTTAAGCGAACCACGTGGCCATTAAGCAAACCTGGGTTCCCCCACTGACTTTGCTTGTTGGAAGCCAGCTGGGAAGGTCACAAATGACAATCACATGACCCCAGGATGCTGCAACCATTGTAAATACATGCTGGTTGCCAAGCAACCGTATTTTGACCATGGAAAGGCTGTAACAGTTGCAAGTGAGAGTAACAGTTGTAAGTCACTTTTTTGAGTGCCATTGTAACTTCGAACGATCACAAAATGAATGATTGTAAGTTGAGAACCACCTGTACACCATTTGAAATTATTCTACTCAAGACTCTTTGTATCAACTGAAAAAAAAAATCATCTTTTTGTATTTATTGAAATAATTATTATTAAGCATTTTTACATCATTTTTAAAATGTGAAGATTTAAAAAACAAAAACAAAAGAGGAAGAATTTTTGGAATTTCCGATTTCCAAGAAGCAAAAAAAACTAAGCTCAAGGTTAATAAATAAAGGGAGAGGACATCCCTTCCTCACTTTGAAATTTGGTAGGATCATAAATCAAGAAAATAAAATGGATTGCCTTCCTGTTAATTTCTACAGAATCCCATTAATATTTAAATCCATGAATACTTAGATTTTTTAAAATCAGTTTCCTAAAGAATTTTAAGAGTTGCCATGTTTCGTAACTCACAGAAGAATCGGAGAGATGACTAAAAAAAACTCCAGAACCTTTATCCTTTCCATTAAATTATTTCATCTGAAAAGTTCCTACTGGACTCCTTCTGATTTTTGGCTGCCATGGACTAATATGGTTCTTCTACAATATGAAACTTATACCCAATCCCTAACTTATATTCCTTGGTCAAACAGCATGCAGGGTGCCAATAATGTCCTTTTGCTGATTTTGGAGTAAATGAAGAAAGAAGACGTGGAATGTGAAAGAAAACATATGGCTACCACATGGTGCTAAATTTATGCAAATACATTCCTCAAGCAAGTTGGTTGCACTACTTTCTCAATAAAACTGGTGGGAAGCATGATGCAAATACGTAGTAAGTTTGTTCTCAGTGGAAGTGGGACTTGTCAAGCTTGATGTTAGAAAGCTCTGATTTCCTCGCTCCTCTGCATTATGTCCATCCTCTAGCTACAGGAAGCCCTCGAGTTACAACTGTAATGGAACCTGCCTATAGTCATAATGGTCGTAAATTGGGTCAGTCACATGACCGACCCAAGGCATCTTTGTTTGCAGCAGTTGTTAGGCGAAGGAACACCGTGGTCATAAATGTGAACCCATTGTTCACTGTGGGTATGGTTTTGCCAAAATCCGGAAGTCCTGTTTTTTGGCAGAACTGTTGTAAAACAAGTCACTTGACTGCAGGATGCTGTGTAAAACAGCTTCATAAAACACAGTTGTGATCCCAGGGGGACCCCCAACCGTTGGAACTAAGAATCCAGGTTATAAGTTTTCTTTTTCGGGTAGGTTGCGACTGAACATTGCTAGGTGACTAGTTATAAGTCAAAAACTACTTACATTATAGTCAACTAGATGCCTCTGAAAAACCCTCAAGTAGAATATGAAGATTAAGAGCCCGAGACAGATCGCACAGAGAAAGTATGCGTCTAAATGGAAAAGTCTTAGATTTAGGGCAGGAGTAGGCAACCTTGGCTCTTTTATGACTCGTGGACTTCAACTCCCAGAATTCCTGAGCCAGCCATGCTGGCTCAGAAATTCTGGGAGTTGAAGTCCACGAGTCATAAAAGAGCCAAGGTTGCCTACCCCTGATTTAGGGCTAAGCATACCTGTAGAAAAGATAACTTGTACCTCACAAGGCAAGGAATTTCACGGCTGTGAAGTCACTGTCGTTCTGAACATGCCCTTCCCTTCTGCACATCAGATAGCAGAATTATGAAAAGCAGGTTGTCTGTCCCTCGGTAATTGTTATATGGAGGATTGGCTTACCTATACAGTGACTCACAATAAACCAAGTGCTATTACACGTATAGCTTCATGTACACATTTGTATAAATGTGTTGCATAGACCTTAACTGGTGATACTTCCTTCTGTTTCCCCCATTCCCAAACCTTCATTTGCAGTGGGTTTCAGTAGGCAAGGAGCAGACCAACATAGTTACAACATTATTGACTCAAACTAGAGCTAGAGAACTGCAGGCAATTGCCTGTAATTTATAGTCTGAGCCCACAGGGCCTTAACCAATCACAATACTTGAAAAAGCCCGCCCAAATATGAATGTTCAAAGTTTCCCTCCAAAACAGTTGGAGTTAACAAGTCAGGGTCATCTAAAGGTTAGTTTCAATTTAGCTTCACAAGCAGTTGGAGTTAAGTTAGTTTCACTTTAGCAGGGATTAATACAACTTTATTCAATATTATTCAATATTCAATACATAACAAATAGTTTGAGAGCAGGCCTGAATAGTATTTTTTCTTTCTCATCTGTTGACAACTTGAGGTGTTTTCTATTAAGCACGCGCAATCTTTTTGAAATCAATAGCGTTAATCAGTTGACCTTAACTGAGATGTTTCATCTATCCCAAAATATAAACTTACAAGTATACACCTCTGCACATTCCTGGCTCCCACGCCTAGCCCCACATGTTTGTTAAAACCAATGAAACCTCTCCCTTGCTGTGATGTACTTGCTTGAACAGGTTCTTTTTAATGTATGCTGAATTGCACACCCAGCCACACCATCAAAGCATTGTAAGCTATGTGGGATGTTTGTCTGCCTGTAGTGTTCTGCCCTAGCAAAGAGCATGGCTCAGTCGCTATTCCTGGTCAACGTCTTCCTCTTCTTCTTAGCAGTGCTGCTCCTTTACCATTTTAGCAATATCTTCAGATACTACTTCAGGATTTGCTTTTTAAAAGGCTGGATACTTGGTTGGTCCTTTTTTCTGCTCCCGGTCCTAGCTCTCTGTGGAAGGAATGTGGCAAATATGAGGTAAGTCACACAGCGCTATGGCATTACACACATGCATATACGTACTTTCAGTGACTATCAGGTGTTAAACCAGCAACAGGGAGAGTTGCTCTAGTAGGAGAAATGAAAGCAGAAAAGCAGAATTCTATGGAGAAGCATAGAGATCCAGTCTGGGTCGGTCACCGGGACAAGAGGTTTTGTCTTCTGAGCTTGTGGACTTGTGCTGGAGCCCAAAAGTTTGGAAGAAAAAAACCCCTCTGGTCCCAGTGACCGATCCTGATTGGATCCTGCAACATTATCTTGGGACATGTATATTCGCCTTCATTTGTGAGAAGAGTAGAGAGTTATTTATTTGCTTACTTGCTTTACTTGTTAGATTCGCAGCCCGCCTTTCCTCCAGAAACTCAAAATGGTGCCCTTGTAGGTCCCATTTTATCTTATCTCCATTATCCTGTTAAGTAGGTTAGGCTGCAGTTGAGTGACTGAAATTGTGTGAGGTCATCCAGTTGAGTTTCCTTAAATGAGAGTTTTAATTCAATAGCTTCACCATTAGGTGACATTAAGAAAACAAGGAGGATAGCAGGTCTCCTTGAGTACCATGTACAAAGACTAGCAATCTGAACCAGATAGATAAGCAGAAAAACCATTGAAGAGATTGTGGATGTTTCCGGATCACAAGAAGCAACTCTGAAGTTCTAGGGCAGGGTTTCCCAACCTTGATAATCTGGGAATTCCCAGAATTCCACAACCAGTATAGTGATTGCTGAGAATTCTGGGAGTTGAAGTCCACCCACCTTCAATTTGGCAAAGATAGGAAATACTGTTCTAGGGCAGTGATGGCGAACCTTTTAGAGACCAAGTGCCCAAACTGCAACCCAAAACCCACTTATGCATCATCGGGTGCCAGGTGGGTGTGGCCCATTGGGTGGGTGTGGCCAGTTGGGTGGGCGTGGCCCATTGGGTGGGTGTGGTCCATTGAGTGGGCGTGGCTGCAGTGGTAACAGCAGACTGGGTGGGACTAAAAAGTTCAATCAATTCCAACTTTGCAAGATCTTTTTTTCCCTGCGGGAAGTTGAAATTGACTGATTGATTGTACCTTTTTCTTTTTGCGCATGGTGGCGGAGGCCTAAAGCGAAAAGGCTTTATAAAACCCAGCTGAAGGTCTAGGACTGGGGCGACGGCATGTGTGCCCACAGAGAGGGCTCTGAGTGCCGCCTCTGGCACCCGTGCCATAGGTTCGCCACAACTGTTCTAGGGCAAAGGGTGGCCCACAGCTTATAATCTGAAGTTCCCTGATAGTTCAGTCTCCCAAAAAGAGCAACCCATGTCCTTCCTGGCAGCTACCTGCAGAAAGAGAGAGAGAAGGGGGAGGGGTCTTGTAAAGAAAAGATGAGATGCTGCCTATTGGTTTCTTCAATCCCATCATATGCTGTTTACACTTGCAGGAATACCTCCTTATAGTTGGAATACCTCCTTATAATCTGTTCTTGCTACAAAAGGTGTCCTCCCCCAGGAAAAAACATGAAAAGATTACAGCAGATGAAACACTGGACCTTTCTATAATTTAGCAGAACAATTGCATGAAAAAAAATTATTTTAGCCAATGGTGCCAGAGCTCATCTAACTACTCGATCCAAAATGAAAAATAGACCTTCTGAGACTACCACAACTCTGAATATGTGGATATGCTGGTGATGCTATACCTTCATGATATCTTACAGACCCTGCCATGTTTACAGCCATGTTTCGTTGCTCTGATTGCTTCTTGTAATTCCAGAGTCTGATAGTATGAGGTTAATCAAGAAAACTTGTCTGAAATTGTCTGAAATGGTATAGGGTCTCCTGCTTGAGCAGGGCGTTGGACTAGAAGACCCCCAAGGTCGCTTCCAGCTCTATTATTGTGTAAGAGGCAAGGCGAGGAGATAGTACTTGTATGCGGCAAACTTCATAACTATCCATTATGGTATATGGATCATAGGATGCATTGCACTCATGTATATTAGTTTGCACCCAGCTCTTCTTGAGTGATTGGGCTCCACTGGAACTCCAAAACAAAACAAAGAGGGCTAAACTGATGGAGCGTGGTCTTTGCCTGAGACCAAGGACAACTTTAATCTGGTTTCCACTCAAGGGGATTCTGGGTCAGTTCCTAAATTTTCCAGACAAACTCATATTATTATTCAAATATTGTTCCTGTACTGAGTGTCTGGAATATAGGTAGTCCTTGACTAATAACTAATAATAATCTTCAAAAAAGGGGGAAAAATGGATCCGGGAAATCGCAGAGCTATCAGCCTGACCTCAATACCTGGGAAGATTCTGGAAAAGATAATCAAACAATGAATCGGCGAACACCTAGAGGCAAACAATGTCATCACTAAAAACCAACATGGGTTTGTCAAAAACAAATCATGCCAGACAAATCTTATTGCATTCTTTGACCAAGTGACAAAATTAGTGGACCAGAGGAATGCTGTGGATATAATTTACTTGGACTTCAGTAAGGCATTTGATAAAGTAGATCACAACCTACTGCTTGATAAGATAGAAAAATGTGGGTTAGCATCACCACCAGATGGATTTGTAGCTGGCTGACCAGCCGTACTCAGCATGTGGTCCCCTACATGAAGGGAAGTGTGTAGTGGGGAGCCCCAGGGCTCTGTTCTAGGCCCAGTGCTCTTCAACATCTTCATCAACAATTTGGACGAGGGGATAGATGGGGAACTCATCAAATTTGCAGATGACACCAAGCTGGCAGGAATAGCCAACACTCCAGAAGACAGGCTTAAGATACAGGAGGATCTGGACAGACTCGAACACTGGGTGCTATCTAACAAAATGAAATTCAATGGTGAAAAAAGTAAGATTCTACATTTAGGCAAGAAAAACCAAATGTACAGGTATAGTATAGGTGGTACCTTGTTCAATAGTAGTAACTGTGAGAGGGATCTCGGAGTCCTAGTGGACAATCACTTAAATATGAGCCAGCAGTGTGCTGCAGCTGCCAAAAAAGCCAACACAGTGCTAGGCGGCATTAACAGAGGAATAGAATCAAGATCACATGAAGTATTAATACCACTTTACAATGCCTTGGTAAGACCACACATGGAATACTGCATCCAGTTTTGATCACCACGATGTAAAAAAGATGTTGAGACTCTAGAAAGAGTACAGAGAAGAGCAACAAAGATGATTAGGGGACTGGAGGTTAAAACATATAAGGAACGGCTGCTGGAATTGGGTAGGTCTAGTTTAATGAAGAGAAGGACGAGGGGGGACATGATAGCAGTGTTCCAATATCTCAGGGGCTGCCACAAAGAAGAGGGAGTCAAGCTATTCTCCAAGGCGCCTGAAGGCAGGACAAGAAGCAACGGATGGAAACTAATCAAGGAGAGAAGCAACCTAGAACTAAGGAGAAAGTTTCTGACAGTTAGAACAATTAACCAGTGGAACAACCTGCCTCCAGAAATGGTGAATGCTCCAACATTGGAAGTTTTTAAGAAGAGACTTGTCAGCTATTTGTCTGAAATGGTATAGGGTTTCCTGCCTGACCAGGGGGTTGGACCAGATGACCTCCAAGGTCCCTTCCAACATTATTATTATTATTGTTGTTGTTGTTGTTTTAGTGACCTTTTGAAGTTAAAACTGGAAAAGTGACTTATGACTGTTTCTCACGCTTATGATCATTGCAGCATCCCCATGGTCACATAATCAAAACTCAGATGCGTGGCAACTGATTCATATTTATGAAGGCTGCAATGTCCAGGGGTCACGTGATCCCCTTTTGCAACCTTCTGACAAGCAAAGTCAATGGAGAAGCCAGATTCACTTAACAACCGTGTTACTAACTTAAGAACTGTAGTGATTTACTTAACAAATGTGGCAAGAAAGGTCGTGAAACGGGGCACAACTCACTTAACAAATGACTCTCTTAGGAAAAAAATGATGGGCTCAATTGTAGTTGGAAGCCAAGGATTACCTGTGTGTGCTCTTTAGCTGATGAACCCATGATTGCCCTTGTTGGCCATCCACAAGGCACTTTCCTATTATCTCTGAACGCGTACAGGTTCTGCAGCTGGAGAAAACACAAAACTCAGAGAGAGAAAGATAAAATTTGCTAGGTGTTTGTTCCCTCAACTTACCACATTCTACTACACTTCATTAATGTTCTACTCTAAGCACAAAAAAAAAATATTGGGATGCTAGCTAATGGATCAAATAAGCGCTGAAGGGTGAGAAGTACAGTTGAACGTCGGAGTAATTAATTCCTTAGACATGAGCACCACGAAAGAACTGCCCACAAGGAAGAAAGAAATATGTTGGAATGACAACCTGGAATTGATCACATTTTCTATAGCAGTGTTTCTCAACCGTGGCCGCTTGAAGATGGGAGGACTTCAACTCCCAGAATTCAGAGCGTTGAAGCCCACACATCTTGAAGTTGCTGTTCTGTAGCATAAAAATGTAAGACGAAAAGACAGCAAAATAGTGTTGGACAATAATGACCTAACTGAGCAAATAGGACATTCTGGTTGTCGTCTGGATGATCTTACTTGTCCTTAGCTCGGCTTCCCTCGTAGGGTTGTTAGGAAGGTGATCTTGAGAAAGGGCAAAATATGAATGTGACGGTTCATATTTAGATATATCCACCACCTTTTATCCTCCTATCTTAGCATATATAATTGTGTCACTGGATGAAGATCGCACATGTTTTAGGGAAGAGTGCAATTGTCGACAGGTCTTATTGGAATCAGCTCTAACAACTTCCCCGGCTTCTTTTCCAAAACCACTCTTAATGTTTCTAAAGTACATCTGTTCTCATTCTTTATTTCAGAGTTCTACGTTTGATCATGCTACCTTTGAAGCTCCTTTATGGCATTAAGATCAATGTGCAGGGAGCTACAAATTTAAATCTGAAAGGGCCCTATGTCCTCATCTCTAATCTGCAGTGCTCCTTGGACCTGCTTGGTGAGTTTGTCGATCCTTTGGAGCCTACTGAATCAGAATAGAGCTGGAAGGGACCTTGGAGGCTTCTAGTCCAGCCCACTGCTCAAGCAAGGGATCCTATACCAGTGATGGTGAACCTTTTAGAGACCAAGTGCCCAAACTGCAACCCCAAATCCACTTATGTATCATCAGGTGCCGGGTGGGCGTGGCCCATTGGGTGGATGTGGCCCATTGGGTGGACGTGGCTGCGGTGGTAACAGCAGACTGGGTGGGACTAAAAAGTTCAATCAATTCCAACTTTGCGAGATCTTTTTTTTTTCGCGAGAAGTTGAAATTGATTGATTGATTGAACTGGGGTTTTTTTGCACATGGCGGCGGAGGCCTAAAGCGAAAAGGTTTTATAAAACCCAGCTGAAAAGGTTTTATAAAACCCAGCTAGGACTGGGGCTACGGCATGCGTGCCCACAGAGAGGGTTCTGCGTGCCATCTGTGGCACGTGTGCCATAGGTTTGCCACCACGGTCCTATACCATTTTAGACAAGTGACTGTCCAGTCTCTTCCTAAAAACCTCCAGTGATGAAGCACCCACAATGTCTAAAGGCAAGCTGTTCCACTGGCTAATTGTCCTCACTGTTAGGAAGTTTATCCTGTGTTGGAATGGCCCTGAAAATATGTCTTGAAATAGGAATAACTCATTTCCGTCTCTACCCATGTAAGGTTAACTTGAGGAAAAGTGCTCCCACAAAGAAAAATAATCCCCCACACAAAAAGGTGGACCCACAAAAAATGTGTCCATTTCATCATTCAATTTTATTGATCCTTTTTATTTTGTATTTTTAACTCTTCCTATTTGGCTTGCATTGTTTAGGCACACTGTGTGATAGCTAGCCAAAGTAGAAATGGAGCATGCAGCTTAAATAAATTAAAAGCAGAGAAAAAACAAAACAAAATAGTAGCAATAGCAGGCATGTAGACAGTAGTGATGGGTCTAGTTGCATTTTCCCTTAGACAATATATAAATGCTCTCCGTGTATACGAAATATTTGAAACATTGTCATTTATGTACTGTGTTTAAAGTCAGACAATATGAAACACTTAGAAACAGCATATGATTGAATTTGCCTGAAATAGCCTTTACTCACCCTTTATAGTCATCCCTGGTAGAAAATAAAATGTCATCAGAATTTTCAATTCGGAATTCAGAATTCAAAATGACACTAAAGTTTATCTAATGTAATCTAATCTCCCAAAGAAGAGTTAATATTTCATGATGGGGATGAATATTTTGCCTATCTTTCCTTCTGCCCTGTTTTTTTTTTTTTTTTACGTTCTCTGGGCTTTTCATGCTTCACTTGAAGACAGGAGAGAACAGCAGAAGATTATCCTGTCCTAACCCTTTTCCAGATCGAGAACCATGAACAGCTGAAGAACAAACTGAGGCAGCACCCAAGAATCTGTTTTCCATACCTGGAAACAACAAAGTGGAAGATAAACGGGTTTTGTCAGGAGAAGGAAGATAGTAGAACTTCTGTTTTGCTGCAGTTCTTAACCACCAGATACTTTCCTAGTGGGAGAATTGATCCCTTAGATCAGTGTTCCTCAACCTTGGCAACTTCAAGATGTGTGGACTTCAACTTTCAGAATTCTGGAAGTTGAAATCCACACATCTTAGAGCAGGGGTCTGCAACCTTGACAACTTTTAAGACTTGTGGACTTCAGCTCCCAGCTATGCTGGCTGAGGAATTCTGGGAGCTAAAGTCCACAAGTCTTAAAGTTGTCAAGGTTGCAGACCCCTGTCTTAGAGTTGCCATGATTGAAAAACATTGCTTTAGATCAGTGGTTCTCAACCTGTAGGTCGGGACCCCATTTGGGGTCGATCGACCATTTCACGGGGGTCGCCAAGCAAGGCTGTCCGCCATTTTTTTTGTCCGCCTTTTCCCCTTTTCCGGCGGGTGCCTTACCTCCCTTGGGCTGGGCCAGCTGGTGGTCGGCCTGCTCCGTCTCTGCCGCTTGCCAGCTACGCCTCGGCCGGCGCAGGGGGCAGAACCACGCATGTGCGGCGCTCCCAGGCAGGGAAAGTCCTCAACTTACGACCTGTTGGGTAGTCCTCGAGTTACAACCGGTTTAGTCCTCGACTTATGACCGGTTTAGTCCTCGACTTACGACCAGTTTAGTCCTCGACTTACGACCGGTTGGGGTCGCGGCATTAAAAAGGTTGAGAACCACTGCTTTAGATAGTCAAGTCATAAGCCATGTATGGCTTCCAAACCACAACATAATCAACATAATGCTGAGAAGCAAGGCTCTCTTTGTCCTAACAGCTTTCCTTCCACAGCACATGCAAGAAATTCCACTTTTCCTTAGAGCAGGGGTCTTCAAACTTGGCCCTTTTGTGACTTGTGGACTTCAACTCCCAGAATTCCTCAGCCAGGCATGCTGGCTGAGGAATTCTGGGAGTTGAAGTCCACAAGTCATAAAAGGGCCAAGCTTGAAGATCCCTGCCTTAGAGGAACCTGAAGTCACTCCACTATCTTCCACATCCATTCCTTACAACCCTCAATCCTCACTCATATTGAATAGCAAAAAAAAAAAAAGTGTTAGTTTTTCTTCAGGGGGCTCTGTATCTCTTAATACAAACTGAAGCAAATACACTTCAGTCCAAATTACGTTGGCCCACAAATTAAAATTTATTTTTTAAAAACAATATTTTCTTTCTTTCTTTGGCTAGCAATTTTCATTTTCAAGCTTTGTAGCCCAGCACTTCTTGTGGGCATAGCTTGGGAAAAATTGCTCAAGAATGCTCTTGTACCTTTGTATCAATCCTCTGAAATTGTTGAACTCAACTGGGATGTGCATCTAGGTCTGTTCACTCCAGCTGCTGCTAATCCTGCCCTGCCTACCTTACACAATGGGGAACTGGGGTGGTGGTGGTAGAAAGAACCTTCAATTAACCTTAAATTTGATCTTCTTTCTGATCCTCTTCTTCTTCTGAAAAACTCCAGGGATTTTTCAAATCTTGCCCAAGCGATGTACCCTTTTCGTCAAGAAAGAGAGCCTGTACATGTTTACTGTTGGTGTTGTCATGTGGCTCTGTGGTTTCATTTTCATTGACCATAAGAAGGAAGCAGAAGCTGTTGAGATTATGTCAGCAACTGGAGACATCATGCTCCGAGACCATGTGAGTAGGGGAGGACAGCAATACAATGGCTACATTGGGCTTTCCGTATTCATAGAATCATAAAGCTGGAAGGGACCTTGGAGGTCTTCTACTCTAACTAAAAAAGATGTTGAGACTCTAGAAAGAGTACAGAGAAGAGCAACAAAGATGGTCAGGGGACTTGAGGCTAAAACATATAAGGAACAGTTGGGTATGTCTAGTTTAACGAAGAGAAGGACGAGGGGGGACATGATAGCAGTGTTCCAATATCTCAGGGGCTGCCACAAAGAAGAGGCAGTCAAGCTATTCTCCAAAGCACCTGAAGGCAGGACAAGAAGCAACGGGTGGAAACTAATCAAGGAGAGAAGCAACCTAGAACTAAGGAGAAACTTCCTGATAGTTAGAACAACTAACCAGTGGAACAACCTGCCTCCAGAAGCGGTGAATGCTCCAACACTGGAAGTTTTTAAGAAGAGACTGGAGAGCCATTTGTCCGAAATGGTATAGGGTTTCCTGCCTGAGCAGGGGGTTGGACTAGATGACCTCCAAGGTCCCTTCCAACTTTATTATTATTATTATAACTCTCTGCCCAAGGCAAGAGGCTAATACCATCTTGGATAAGCGACTGTCCAACCTCTTCTTGAAAACCTCCAGCAATGGAGCACTGACAATTCTGAGAAGCAAGCTGCTCCACAAATTCACTTAACAACTGCAATGACTGGTTTAACAACCGTGAAAAAAGTTGTAAAATCTGTGGCAACCCACTTAACCACTTTGCTCAGCAATAGAAATTCTGGTTCCAATGGTCTTTGTAAGTTGAGGACTATCTGTATTAATTTCCTGTGCCTGTTTTAATGTGACCCACATGGCAGGAATGCAGAGTTTTGCTTTTAGAAAAGTGCTATTAGAACTGGTGGAATTGAGAGAAATAGTGTGTTACAGGAATCAAAGATACCCCTTTGTCAATACTGTATTAATCGGCTGAAGAAGAAAGGCCTAATGCAGTGATGGCGAACCTTTTAGAGACCGAATGCCCAAACTGCAACCCCAAACCCACTTATGCATCGTCGGGTGCCGGGTGGGTGTGGCCCATTGGCTGGGCGTGGCCCATTGGCTGGGCATGGCTGTGGTGGTAACGGCAGACTGGGTGGGACTAAAAAGTTCAATCAATCAATTCCAACTTTGCAAGAATTTTTTTTCCCGCAAGAAGTTGAAATTGACTGATTGATTGGACCTTTTTTTTTTTTTGCACACAGCGGCGGAGACCTAAAGCGAAAAGGTTTTATAAAACCCAGCTGAAGGCCTAGGACTGGGGCGATGGCGCGTGTGCCCACAGAAAGGGCTCTGAGTGCCGCCTCTGGCACCCGTGCCATAGGTTCGCCACCACTGGCCTAATGTATTCATTATTAAATATGTTCTTTTCTGTCTAATTAGCTGCGAATATGGGTATTTTCTGAAGGCCACAGAACTGGTGAATCCACCTTGGAGCCCTTGCAAAGAGAAGCCGTCTATCTTGCAGTAAAGGCCCAGGTAAGAACGTGACATTTCCACACTTCTTATTTCTTCACTTAAGTCGGTCAGGAATGGAGATAAGAGAGCAGTGCTATCTCTGTGAGTCATTCATTGGTAGAAACCAGAACCCATCAAGCTAAGCAATGTATAATCATAATCATCATTGGTGTGTACAGTGATAATTATTATTAGCAACTAAGCTACCACCCAAAGCCCGCAAAATAAAAAACAAAAATCTTTGTATCTCATATTAAAAAGAATATTTCCTTATGAAATACTATGAATTCTAGACTGGAGGGAGGTGTTTTATCTTCCTTTCCCAAAATGTCACCCCAAAGCTACACTGAATTCTTTTCTTTTAATTTAATACATCGCTATTAAAAAATGTCAGGTCAACTTTATCTGGGGCGGTGCTGTGGCTTATCGGTTGGAAAGTTGGCAGCCCAGGTTTGACACCTGAATGTCATGCGACAGGGTGAGCTCCCGTTCCCCCCCCATCTCCTGCCAATCTAGCAGTTCGAAAGCATGCAAATGCAAGTAGATCAATAGGTACCATTTCAGTGGGAAGGTAACATCGCTCTGTGACGTCATGCTGGCCACATGACCGCAGAAATGTCTTCCGACAGTGATGGCTCAATGGCCTTGAAATGGAGATGAGCACCGCCCCCTACTGAGAACCAAAATGGCAGCATCAGTCCTTAGGATGGTTTCCCGTTCAGCAAGGCCTTCCCCACTCCTCATGCCTGGTTCTACACTGATCAGAGGTTGCAGCAATAGCACATTGCTACTTGGATGTGGCCACATAGGTCATTTCTCTTCAGTTTTCCTTTAGGCCGGGGGTAGGCAACCTTGGCTCTTTTATGACTCGTGGACTTCAACTCCCAGAATTCCTGAGCCAGCCATGCTGAGGGGAAAGGAAGAGGTTTCCAAGCTGAGCCATGCTGGCTCAGGAATTCTGGGAGTTGAAGTCCACGAGTCATAAAAGAGCCAAGGTTGCCTACCCCTGCTTTAGGTAGATGGTGTTAAAAAAAACCCCCAAAACCTTACATAAAAATAACTGCCAGGGTGTCTACAGGGTATAGCAAACAAGTCAAGATGGTGGCTGTGATGGTAGGATTGAAGCTTCTCTTGATTTTGTGTCCAACACGGCCACCATCTGTATGTGTTACTCTGCCGACACCATGGTGGAGAGGTTGACTTTATGATCCCATTTTCACAATACAATGGTCACGATGCCCCTCTTCTGAACAGTGATTGTTTTTCTTTCCATGCAGGTGCCAATCATTCCTGTGGTGATGTCCTCCTACAGACCATTTTTCAACATGAAGACTAACAAATTCACATCTGGTATTCTGTGGCACTGGGAATAGCTAAGTCAATGATTGTCTGGGTTATTTTCCCCCCTGAGAGGTAGCAGCATGTCAGCTCTCAAGGGGAGGCCTGGAATTGCAAGTGACCAGGATAAAAATAGGTCAGCCCTTCATCACACAGCACTGTAGTCTCCAAGAGGCAGATAACAGTTTGGGGCTGGGGGCTCCACTTGATTTAACCTTACTGGAAAGGATAGAGTCAGTTAGGGTGAACTTTTATTGAACTGAAGAAGCTTCCTAGATGAGAATCAAAATATTTTCAAGGGGAAAAAACAAGGAAGTCCAGCTGCCTTTTGAAAAGCATCTTTGGGACCTTTATTGGAGGATTTCTTTTAAAAAGCAAAAAAAATGGAGCTGCAATTAAATCTGTGGCCACATTTTAGCAGCATAATCATTGTGTTCTAAAGGGCACTGAAATAGACTGGGCACATGCGGCATAACTGGTTGCCCACTTTTGCTTGAAAGCTAGGGTCTCTCTGAATCTAACATGAGAACTTCTGAATGGCAGAGAAGGTCTATAGTTTATGCAAACTATACCTCCAAGGACAGTTAGTCCTTCAGTTATGACTGGCTGTTTACTGATGATTCAAAATTACAACGGACCTCCCCCAAAAGGTATTTATGTCCCAGTTCCGAGTTCTGATGTCCAGGCTGAAAATCTGTGTTTACTTCCAGTTTTTGATAAAAACGCCCCATAGCAAACAATGGGTTCGCTTAACGACTGTAGTGTTTCCTTAATGATTGCGGTGTTCGCTTAACAACCGTAGCATTTGCTTTATGGGCCCCGCAAAAAAGATCGTAAAATTGGGTCCAGTCACATGATGACTCATTTCGTGACTGTCATGACTTACAACCATAATGGCAGGCTGCACTGCGGTTGTAAGTCAAGGACTACCTGCACTAAGTTTAGACGCACTAGCTACAAAGTCAAGAGATAAGATACCATAGTTCCTGTTTTGTGTTGCTCAATACACAAGTCAACTTGTATTTTCCCCCTGTGCAAGTTAGGGACGGTCAGGCCTTCCACAAACCAGCTGGGACCCTGGAAGCTTAACTGGTCATCTGGATGAGACATGACTGACATCACATGCATTTGGATACTTATGAGCCATGCCACAATAGATTTCCTTGTTTTCTCTCCTCCAAGGGGACATCACTGTCCGGATTCTTCCTCCGGTGAAGACCAAGGGATTGAGCCCGAGTGATATCCCAGACTTAACAGACCGCGTGTGGGGGACCATCCTGTCCAACTTCCATGAGATCTCAGGAGAGCCTGGGGAACAAGCAAGCGTGGTCAAGGAAGACACCGGACAAGTCCTCAATTACTAAGGAACTTATTTAATTCCCCCCCCCTTTCATTGCTTCTTTTTGTACTTTGTGTGGATCTACCCATTTGTGGATGGCTGTTTTGGGTGTCTTAACGTGTGACACGGATTTCTGGTGAGAAGAGTGCAATTTCCTCTGGGATAAAGCTGAGAGATCCTCGGGGAGCCCGTAAAAGCGGTTCTCCTCTTCGTTTTGGATTTGAGCCCTGCTTCCCTTTCTCATGCACTTTAAAGGACAGAAAACTGAAGTGAAAGGGAGCTCCACGCAGCGCAAACCTGAGTGGGCCGGCTGCGGTTCTCGAAACAGGTTTCTCGGCTGTGTTGCTTCTAGAGCCAGAACTGGGGCCAGAACTGGGGAAGGCAGCAGCATTGTGAGGCAAGCGCCGGTTGCTGTGGCAACCGGCGCCTCCGATGTGAAAGGGACAGCTCGGCTTGAGTCAGAGAGAGCCTGTTGGGAGGAAGAATTCGCAATCTGATTGTGAGGCTGGACACGTGCCTCACATACCCTCCCGAAGGCTGGAGAGGAGGCCAGTGCCCTTAATGTGGCCTCAGAGATCTCAGCTTTTTTGCACACAGGTAAATATGGCGCAGGAGGACCATTTCATCGGATGCTTCCCTGACTCACTTTGGCCGTGCAGTGGCTTGTGGGAACCTCAGTCTTAAGTGTTGCATAAACCTGGACATTGCATTAAATCATGGGATTGGCCAGTTTTGCCAGTGTAGCCACTGTCTTTTGTTAATTCAGGTTTAGTGACTTTTGTTAATGCAGCTAGAAGTGGTGGGGCTACAGGGTAATGCATCCGAGTTTTCCCGTTATAGCACTGTGGATGTTGGTGGGGAAAAAAAGTTTGAGGGACTTGGAACATTGTCAATTAACCCTGTCATATTTTGGCACTTTTCCCTGCCAGTGGGGCTTTCCCAGTAGAAGACCAGATCTTGGAACACCAATTGTTCTGTTCTTGTTTGCCTAGGTAATCTAAAATAAATGTTATATATTATGGAATATTTTGTATTTACTTTGAATATTGACATACTGCCAAAATTATATATCTCTAGACAGTTTACAAATCAATTCGTGGAAACTATGGAAGCTGTAAAAAAAAATCAGTAAAATTTAATCAGATAAGAAATAAGGGGTATCCTTTGTTTGGATAATGGCATCCAGAGGCTTGTCTGAAAAGGCTGTTTTCATCATTGTCTGAAAGGGGATCAAAATGGGATCTACCCAGATCTTTGCTGGGGGAGCATAGTCTAAACCAGGGGTGTCAAACTCACAACATCACTGGCAATGGGGTGGGCGCGGTTTCGCCATTACGCATCCGGCCCGCGGGCCGGCAGTTTGATACCCCTGGTCTAAAGAGTCAAAGTAGGGAGCATAAGAGAAGCATCGTTTCCAAGTTCTGTCTTTTTCCGTGGACACTCAAGGCTTCTTCCGTATCTTTTGCTTGTCCATATAATAAATTCATGTGACACTTTCATTTCCCTTTCCTTTTATTCTTATCCAAACACTCTCAACAGAATTCTATGCTCAGCTTTGTGAATTTCAGTGCAGTTGTATGCTTCCTTTACACACAATACAACTTCCTTTCTGTTTATTCCTAGCAAGAGCTTGATATATCAGTTGCTGAGCTCAACTGGGCCTGAATACCTCCTGATCTTCTCTGGGTTGTGTGCTTTACTTGTTTCCTTTTCTGTGTTTCTTGGCACTCACTCTTACCCTTCCTAAGGAGTGCCACCTATTGAAAAAATTCTCATCTTCTCTGGCATATTGCAATATAGACACTCATTCCCTAAGCCTTTTGCTTTCTCCAATAAGGACACAAACTTTCAGTTCCAGCTGGTGCATCTGGGATTCTTGCTGAGTGAGAGGACAGAGATTGCATCCACCTTGCAAATTGCTGAGAAGCTTCTTTTTTTTCTCCACACTGCTTGGTGTTTTTTTGAGTTTCCCTCTGGCCAATTCTTAATTTGCTCTCCTTACTTGCTTGCTCGGTGACCAAGTAGAAAAATAAATTACATTCAGGTCATCCTGCCAGAGTATGCATGTCTATAGCAGGCTTATTGATAAATATACGTATATTTCCTTCCATCCATCCAACCTAGTTATGAAAAATTTTGCAAATGTTGCATCACTGAGGTTTAAGCAAGAAGCAACAGTTGTATCTACTTCAAAGCAAGGCTATAGTTTAAATAAAAAAGAAGCAGCAGCCAAGGAAGCAAATACATTTTCCAAAATGTAAGAGATGAAAGCAGTTATGGACAAACTGAGGAGGGATTGGGGGAAACAGACAAGTGATGAAATGTTTAAGAACTATCAAGGCCGATAGCAATGAGTAGTCAAGAGGGAACAGCTGTGAGAGATGAAATGTGTAAAATACAGCAAATTATAGGAAGAATTTGAAGAACCTGGGCTACTGGCTGTTCTTCCAGGATTAGAATTTGAATAATTCCCTTGCTGATTGTAACATACTAAAATCTGAATTTTAACGTCTGAAATGTTGATCGTTCTATTCTCATCTGCTCTTTTTCTGAGCCCTCCAAATAACTTTCCCTAGATCAGATTCCGATACCAAAAAAAAGTAACTTCTCTGAAATATCAATATTTCCACATTGTCAAAGCCACAACCACACAAATCAAGGAAACATCTGCAAATATCGAAATAGAGATGGACTTGAAGACATTCCAATTTTCCGAATGATCAAACTTTCAATTCCAAATATTGATGGGGACTGAACAAGAGTCCTTGGTGCTCTCTGAGTTTGGTTGTCTGTTGGCAGACATTTCATGACCAGGCTAGGTAATTTCATCAATGCACTGAGCACAGAGAGCACCAAGCACTTACAGTTCAATCCTGAGCTACGTATATCATCTTCTATTGGGACTGAACAAGAGTTTTATGTTGAGGGCACGGCTTCATGACTTATCCCAAGACACGTTATATTTTATCGGGTGAAAAGGTCAGCATGCCAAAATGTGGTTTCCTTCTTTCCCGTTTCAGATCATTATGCCACTGATTGCAATTCCCTTCCATGACCTCACACCTTGAATGCCTCATCTGCCAACTTCATGCATTTGGTGGAATCCTTTCCTGCTAAATTGTAACATTTACTCCTCTTCCCTTTCAGCCCCAGGTATTCAACCTCAGTCATGGGACCTCCTCCTCACCTGCTGACAGGTCAGGTTGGTGCTGAGAAGTGGCACAAGGACACACGTACAACAGTACAAGAAGCCTCTACATTCACAAAGAGATGCGGCAAGGATGCCCTTGATCTCTGGCGTCCTGCCCAAGTCCCAGGCCAGTCTGAGGAAACACCGTACGAGCGCAAGCTGAAGATTGACTCCTGGAAATTCAAGATAGATGTCTCGGATTCTGGAGAGGTGAAGAGAAAACCCCCGGAGGGGCCAGGGGTGACCCTATGGAAAAGCAAAATGAAGCCTCCTCCTTGGGTTTGCAAGTTAGCCTTGCCTTGCTCCCGGGACTATAGCAACACGAAGAACAATGAATACGTGGCTCAGTACTTCAGGGAGACACGCCTGGTAGTAAGTCGCCTGCGCCAGGCTCTTATTGAAATCAACGAGCAGTTCAAGGGAATAATGCGTATGCGGCAGCAACTGGATGCCATGTTGGATAAAATCCGCCAGGGCCTCATGACCAACAAGCAGAGCCAAGCCATCCGAGAG